AAGTGGGTTATATGAATATATGATATTTGTTTGTTCAATGAAAGATTATATATGTACATGGTGTTGTATAATCCTACACACGCAGAACTTATACAATGTAATGTATCAGTTATTGTATTTTACTAATTGGTCTACTGCATTCTGGGAAGACAGTTATGTATCAATAACGTGTCGTTTTTTTAGCTGCTAGTGCAAAAACATATGCATAGATATAATATATATATATATATATATATATATATATATATATATATATATATATATATATAAGAAAAAATATATATAAAGAGATAAGAAAAAAATTTTTCCGGGTGGCAATGGGATGAGACAGTAAGACAAGAGTAAGAGAAATGAAAGAGAGAGAGGAGGGAGAGGGAGAAGGAGAGGGAGAAGGAGAAGGAGAGGGAGGAGAGGGACAGTGAGAGAGAGAGAGAGAGAGAGAGAGAGAGAGAGAGAGAGAGGAGAGAGAGAGAGAGAGAGAGAGAGAGAGAGAGAGAGAGAGAGAGAAAACAACAAAGCACGAAGTGAGAGAATGAGTGAGACAAACATCGAAAGCGAGAGAATGAGAATTGAGAAACGATAGAGGGAAGGAGACAAAGAGAACGCACAAAGAGACACAAAAAGGCCTAAAAAAATTTGCGAAAGCCAAGGGTATAAAAAAGAGAAAAAAATGAAATAAAGACCAAAAGGAGAACTTTTAAGCCTAAATCAGAAGCTTCAAGACCTAAGACGCAGGAAACATTCCCAAAAAGAGACGAAACATAAATCTAAAAAAATCTACATTTAAAACACCAAGGGAGCGAGTGACTAAGAGAAAAAAGCGAGCAACTTCCCCAGCACCTTGGCTGATGATTGACCCCATGAGTGCCTTGACCTTATGACCCCTTCGAGCGCCTTGACCTCCCGCGTGACGTGACATGACATGAATTCACTGCAGATCGGCCAATTCCTCGTGTCCGAATTGCCCTTCTTGGCGTGTGCTTATTTTGATACGGATACGCATATATATATATGCTATGTGTGGGTGTGAGTTAGAGTGAGTGAGAGAGAGAGTGAGTGAGTGAGTGAGTGAGAGTGAGTGAGTGAAGAGGAGAGAGAGAGAGAGAGAGAGAGAGAGAGAGAGAGAGAGAGAGGAGAGAGAGAGAGAGAGAGAGAGGGAGAGGGAGGGAGGGAGGGAGGAGAGGAGAGGGGAGGGAGGGAGGGAGGGAGGGAGAGAGGAGAGAAGAGAGAAGAGAGAGAGAGAGAGAGAGAGAGAGAGAGAGAGAGAGAGAGAGAGAGAGAGAGAGAGAGAGAGAGAGAGAGAGAGAGAGAGAGAGAGAGAGAGAGAGAGAGAAGAGAGAGAGAGAGAGAGAGAGAGAAGAGAAGAGAAAAGAGAGAGAGAATGTGTGTATGCCCGTACGAACACACACTCACATTCTGATCTTTTGTCGCGACTACGTCTGAGTGCCAATCGAGAAGTGCCTTTTAGTGTCCCGGGAAGCTCTCCCGACTGGATTTAGTGTGCCATGCAAGCGTCACGTGACCCGGCAATTCTGCACGGGAAGGAGGCGGCTCGGGGGAATGGGGAGGGGGGGGGCGTGAACCCATGCCCATTCATGCCACAAAGCGGTCAGGGTGCCGTGTGCAAAGGGCGGTGTCTGAGGCGCCCGCTCTGGAGGATCGGGCTTGGCGCCATCGCGAGTGAAGCCCCTGGGGTTGCGCCAATCACTGGAATTTGGGTCGAATCGCGGAATTGCTCTCCTTTCTTTTCCTTTTTTCTTTTTGATTTTGAGTCCTGCACAATCCAGGGGATCGAATACTAGATTTTTGGTTTGTTTTGTTTAGTTTTTTTTTTTTTCGAATCGAGGGCGAGAGAGAGAGAGCGAGAGGGATTCGCGTCTCTTCTCCGGGGCCCTCGAGTGAGGCGGGCCGGAAGGGGAGGGGCGTGGCGAGGAGCGAGGCAGCATACCTGGAGGAAGTGGCGAGGGACGAGCACGCCCACTCGCCCACGCCGGCGTCCACCGTGCTCATGGGTGGCTTCGCAGCTGTGCCCCTTCACGCCCTCAGGGGGGCGGGGCTGAGGCAGGCAGGAGAGAAGGGCAAAGAAGTCATCAAAGAAGTCATCACAGGAGTCGCTACCTGATGGTGAATCCTTATCAAATCCTTCACCAAATTTAGGAAATACGTCTCGCCCTTCTGGATCGTGATGGTTCAGGGGGGGGGGGGGCGTGGTGGATCTAATGGGGGCGTGGTGGATTTAAGGGGGAGGGGGGGGGCGCTCCACAACAGCGGAGAAATGCCTCCACGCATGTTAGTGACAGGAAGCTTGCACAAAAGAGCAGGGCGGAAGGGGAAAGGATGGAAAAAAACATTGCCTAAAAAAAATAATAATAATAATACAGAAATGATACAGTAGAGGAAATGCTTTTACTGAAGCGTTTTAATGTGTGCAGTTACATCCACGAACACAAAGGTAAGTGCAGGAAGGGTTAAAAAAGGGCTAGAAGAGATTTTTGCACAAAAATACTACCATTTATCCCTTGTAGCAAAACACCGATATAAAATTCCTTGTGAAGTACACGCACATAAAGCAAGAAAAAATGACAATAAACTCATAAGCAAGAAAACACTGACAGTATGAATTCAAATCCAACATTATTACTTACAATTCTGATCACACAACTGTTGGTCTCTGCTGCAGCTACTTACACTATCAACAACCATAAGACTACTTCCCTACCCTTAAATACGTACACGGATAAATGGATGAGTAAATGAATGAATGAATAAATAGAAAGATAAATAAATAAAGAAAGAAATTTGTAAATAAACATATAAATAAATAAACTTCCTAGTAAGTATAGAAATAGATAAAGAGATAACTATATGAAGAAACAAATAAATAGACAAACACAAAAACAATATAAAACATAAAAAATAAAACCCCCATAATCAAGCGAAGGCAAAATATTTTAAAAATCACCCAATAAAAGGGGAATAAATATACTTCACCCAATAAAAAAAAAAAAAAAAAAAAAAACATACTTTGCCCAATGAACAGGCCAAAAAAGCATACTTCACCCAAAAAAAAACCCAATAAAAAGACAAAAAAAACATAATTGACCCAATAAAAAGGGCAAAAAATCTTCCCCCAATAAACATGGTAAAAAAAAAAAAAAAAAAAAAAAAAAAAAAAAAACGAAAACTCAACGACGAAAAGGCGATCCCATTTACCTGCAGATACGAAGGCAGGATGTATCCCGATCGCGTGACGAACTCCAGCTCGAGCACGATGGAGTCCTCAGTGGTCTCCGAGCCGTCGTGGAAGTAGGTCACGCGGTCGTCGTTGAGGTCCAGGAGGGTGAAGATGGTGTCCTCAGGGCGTCGCGGGAGGTCGACGTCCAGGCGGCCTCGGGAGGGGGGCGTGATCACGTGGAAGTGCACGCCGGACTCCCTCACGCCGTACTGGAGGAGGGAGAAGCGGAAGGGCGTGGGGATAAAACGGTTTAGTTATTGAATTAGGATTGTCGGGTGGTAATGATCAAATTATGAATTACGGTTCGGGGGTTAAGAATTCATTATGATTGTTGGGGGGAATATTATGTATTGAGTTCTTCATTACGATTGTCGGGTATCAAGTATTAAGTTATTACGGTTGTCGGGTACTAAGTCATTAAGATTGTCGGGTGGAATCCTTTGTATTACGTTTTGAATTACGATTGTCTGAGGGAGGGGAAAGGAGAGGAGGAGGAGGAGGAGGGAGGGCGAAGTCCGCTAAGAAAGGAGTGTTGACATTGTTGGAGTGACGTAAGTAAACAAAAAATAAAACATGACTACGATTGTCAGAGAGAGAGGGAGACCAAGATGGTTGTTGAAATGACGAAAGTAGATAAAAACACAACATTATTAATAACGACTGTCGGAGGGATGGAGGAGGGAAGAGGGCGAGGTACGCGAAGTAAAAAGATCTCCAACATGAATTACGATTATGCGAGGGAGAAGGGGGGAGGGGGAGGGGGGAAGAGAGAGAGGGAGGGCGAAATACAATAAGAAGAGATCGGTGTGGTTGTTGAAACGACGTAAAGAAACGAAAATACAACTTGAATTTATGACTGCTCGAGGGGAAGGGGGGGGGGGTGGAGGGCAATGTGCGTCAAAAGATAGTTGCTGGAATGACGCAAGGACGCACAAAAACGAATTTATTACCGTATCCTATTCATCTTGGGGACTAATAAAGGAGGTAACTTTTCCTCAAAGAAGGATGTCTGGAATTTAAGTACGCAAGTGATGTAAATCCACATAGGCCTACCGGTAGATGATTTTTTTATGACAAAAATAATTACATATACATACGTAAGTATCTGAGAGTATATATTTAAAAATGGAAGTCATACTCCGTTAAAAGAATATATGAAAATACGTAAACTTAAACTAAATTACACCATTCTACTGCTTCTAAAATAAAATTAATGAGAAAGTAAGGCCAAAACCACTAAAAATAACTTGAAAACACTTAAGTAAACAAAAACAAATTATATCCAATCCATTCTGACAACTAATGGAGGCAGATTTCGTTACGTTATCAGGATTATTAAAACATTTACGTAAATATAAATACAATAACATGAATACATCTGATAAAGGGAGACCCCGAACTTTTAAAGGAATAATTGAAAATGCTTCCGTAAGCTGCAATTAAGCTGCATAAAGCTTCGTGTTCATCAGAGGGAGCTAGAACATTGTTAGAAGGAGGATTTCCAAAAGTTGCAAGAGCAAATATAGTAACGAGCGTGGAATATGAAAAGAAAGGGGAAAGTAAAAATAGGAGACGCATACTTGAATTTTGATAAAAGAAAAAAAAAATCAGAAAATGAGGCTAAAAGAACGATTAGCAAGCAATTATAAACAATAAGAAGGCTATAAATACGTTTCTGAAGTCTCTTACAAAATGGATTACAAAATATGAATACAATAATAGCATGTACAAAGATCGGGTTACAGTGTACAGCTGGTTACAAAAAGTCACAAAAGCGAAATGTAGAAGTTTAAAACCACGAATAACAGAATAACAAGATTTCTTAAACGGATCGGGAACAAGATGTGCAAAAAAAACAAAAAAACAAACAAAAAAAAAAACGCACACACACACACAACACACACACACACACACACACACACACACACACACACACACAACACACACACACACACTACACACACACACACACACACACACACACATGAAAATCCAACTCACCTTCTCATAGTCGAGGACAAGGTGGAGGTGGTGTGAGGTGATCAGAGCCTGACCTCCTTCCTGCACCTCCATGGGCGTGAGGCTGAGGATCTGTAAGGAAAGGGCGTGGGCGTGAGAAATCTGTCATTGATATCTGATGTAAATTCCCGCCCCACCCCCCCTGCTTTCTTCCTCTCTCTCTCCTCTCTTCTTCTCCTACCCTCTTCCATCCCTCCCGTTCCTCCTTTCATTCTTCCCTCCCTCCCTCCCTTTTTCCTCCCTCTCCGTCTCCTCTCTCCCTCCCTTCTCCTATCTTCCCTCTCTCTCTCCCCCCTCCCTCCTACCTCTCCTCACGCCCCTTCCCACTTTCTTCAAACGAATACCATTCTATTCCATTCTTTTCAGCCTCCTCTAACCCCGTAGTTGAACATGGGCCGTTCACCATTCCTTAAAATACAAAATAACATCACATTCTCAGCTCAGGTTTGAACGGCTACGTGGTCTTCATGAACACCTACTTCCTCCTTCCCTTCTTCCTCCCCCTCATCCCCCCCCATTCCTTCCTTTCTCATTCTATCCATTGTTTTTGGCCATTCACCATTCCTCAAAAATCCAAAATAAACATCACACATATCCTCACCTCCAGATTGAAACGGCAGCGTGGTCTTGGTGAACACCTCCCTCCCTCCTCCTTCCCTTCTTACCCTCCTATCCTCCCTACTATCTTCCCTCCCTTCCTTCCTCCCTTCCTCCTCCCTCCCTCCTTCCCTCCCTCCTCCTTCGCTCCATCTCTCCCTCCCTCCCTCCTTCCTCCTTCCTCCCTTCTATCCCTTCCCCCTTCCTCAAAAGTCCAAAATAAACAACACATCCTCACTCCAGATTGAACGCAGCGTGGTCCTTGGTGAACACCTCCCTCCCTCACTCCTCCCTCCTTCCTTCCCTCCCTCCCTCCCTTCTTCCTTCCCTCCTCCCTCCATCTCTCCTCCCTCCCTCCTTACTCCTTTCTCCCCTCTATCCATTCACCCTTCCTCAAATCGCAAAAAACAACCCACATCTCACCTCCAGATTGAACGGCAGCGTGGTCTTGGTGAACACCTCCCTCCCTCACTCCCTCCCTCCTTCCTCCTCCCTCCCTCCTCCTTCTTCCTTCCTCCCCTCCCTCCATCTCTCCTCCCTCCCCTCCTTACTCCTTTCTCCCCTCTATCCCATTCACCCTTCCTCAAAATCCAAAAAATAAACACCAACATCCTCACCTCCAGATTGAACGGCAGCGTGGTCTTGGTGAACACCTCCTCCCTCACTCTCCCTCCCCTTCCCTCCTCCTCCTTCCTCCCTCCCTCCTCCTCTCTCCCTCCTTCCTCCTAACTCCTTTCTCCCCTCTATCCCATTCACCCCCCTCAAAATCCAAAATAAACACCACATCCTCACCTCCAGATTGAACGGCAGCGTGGTCTTGGTGAACACCTCCCTCCTCCCTCCCTCCCTCCCTCCTTCCTTCTCCTTTCCTCCCTTCTATCCCATTCCCCCTTCCTCAAAATCCAAAATAACCCACACATCTCTCACACCTCCAGATTGAACGGCAGCGTGGTCTTGGTGAACACCTTGACCTTCCCAAAATCCAAAATAAACACCAACATCCTCACCTCCAGATTGAACGGCAGCGTGGTCTTGGTGAACACCTTGTAGGCCGTCGTGAAGTTCTGGCGCACGCAAAGGGCCAAGTCGCACTCGCACTTGAAGCCGTCCGTCCCCTCCTGCACGCAGCGGGCGCCATCCACGCACGGGTTCTTCAGGCACGGGTACGCCCAGCTGCAGTCCGCCTTGATGCCCAGGGTGACGCGAGATTCCCGGATGCTGAGTCTGTTCTCGCCCACGAACAGGTTCTGCACGCATCCCTCGAGGCTAAGGGGGGAGGGGGGGGGGGGAGGATTATTATGATTTTCTTTATTTATTTTTTTTGTTTTTTTTTTTCTTATTTCATTTTTTTTATTCTATTTTATTCATTTTATTTTAGTTATTTTTCAATTTTATTGTTATTCTCACTATCACTATCATCATCATGCCTTTTTTGCGTGTTCTTTTTTCTTTCTTTTTCTTTTTTTAATTCATAAGATATATAACGTACGCAGGGGATATTACTCATATCAATCATCCTTTTTTTTCTTTTTTATTTCTTACTAAGAGATGGGCAAGGAAGTTTATCCATTCGTTATAAGATAAATGGGCTACATATTTCATTCATTTTCATCTAATCTTTTTTATTAATTCAGTAAAAAAAATATGTAAGCTGTAGATAAATGTGATAGATTGGATTTTATTCATATTCCTTATAAGATATATGAGAAAGACAGGCAATGCGTTTTATCTAATCTTTATCTACCAGTTTTGAATAACAATGAAAAGGAAACAAAACCAATAATAATAATAGTAATGACAGTTTACAATCTTATTCCACCTTATTTATATACTATAAAAAAAATCATAAAATTTTCTTTTAAAAATTTCTAAAAAACGCTATAAAAAATAAAATAAAATTTTCCTTAAAAGCGCTAAAAAACATTAAAAACGCAAAAACAAAATAAAAAAACAAACACTGACCTTTTATCCCCGTTCCTGGCCCCCTGCTTGACCGCCCGCGCCTGCTTGTTGACCTCGACCCCGCCCACGAAAAGGTATCCGGAGAGGTCAAAGAACTTATTCTCGCCGATGTGCGTGGGCTGGTCCTCGATGTGGTCGTCGACGTTGAGCTCCATGTACGTGGGCTTGAAGTGGGCCTCCAGATGGTGCCACACGCCGTCGCTGATGTAGATGGTGCTGCGGGCAGATGGGGAGACAGGTGGTGGTGTTAGATGGGGGTGTTATAGGTAGATGTTGTAGATAGATGGCGCTGTGGGCAGATGGGGAGACAGGTGGTGGTGTTAGAGGCAGATGGGGAGACAGGTGGTGGTATTATATGGAGGTTTTATAAAAAGATGGCGCGGTGGACAGATGGTGCTGTGGGTAGATAGGGAGACAGGTGGTCGTGTTAGATGGGGGTGTTATAGCTAGATGGCGCTGTAGACAGATGTTGTTGCTGAAAGATGGTGAGAAAGGTAATGTAACAGGTGGGTATGGTTATTGGGTGGGGTGGGAGTGTTATAAACAGATGGTCAGACAGATGGTGCAATTGGTATAATGGGTCGTTTGAAGGTGTTGTAGATATTGTTGCAGAAATGCCAAGAAAGATGGTGTAAAAGCTGGGTTGGGTTGTTTGGTAGGGCCAGGATGTTGTAGACAGATGGTGTTGTGGACAGATGGCGAGAAAGGTGGTGTAGGAGGTGGGTTGGGGTGTTAGGCGGGGTGGGGGTGTTCCAGACAGATGGATACGGATTTTGGAAGCGATACCGGAAATCCATCCGAACTGAAGAATTATTATAAAACTAATAAATGTCTCTTTTATTTGTTTGTTTTTCTCGACGTGGGCTGAAACTGACCTCTTGATTTGAAATACGAATCATGTTACGTCGATAAAATAAAAGACGAATGAAAAGAAACATGAATAAGATTTTGACAAAGAAGAAGAAGAAGAAGACGAAAAGAAAAAAAACAAAACAAAAAACGTATTTTTTTTTTTTTTTACTGAAGCTATGACTCAGCATTTTGGAAGTATTTCCTGGTTAAGAAAGTGATCAAACAAAAAGTTCTTCCTCGCACGTAGGCCTATTAGCCATCAACGCCAAAAAGAGAGCCTTAAAAGACGTGAAGTTGTTGGACCTTAAAGATAAAGATAAAGATAGAAGAGAAAGGACAGGAAATCTTCGAAGGCGAGTCGAGTCGTGAGGAAAGATAAGGTGAATGATGAAGGCAAGAGAGAGAGAAGAGAGAGAGAGAGAGAGAGAGAGAGAGGGGGGGGAGAGAGAGATAGAGGGGAGAGAGAGAGAGAGAGAGAGAGAGAGAGAGAGAGAGAGAGAGAGAGAGAGAGAGAGAGAGAGAGAGAGAGAGAGAGAGAGAGAGAGAGAGAGAGAGAGAGAGAGAGAGAGAGAGGGGGGGGGGAGATAAAGGGGAGAGAGAGAGAGATAGAGGGGAGAGAGAGAGAGAGAGAGAGAGAGAGAGAGAGAGAGAGAGAGAGAGAGAGAGAGAGAAGAGGAGAGAGAGAGAGAGAGAGAGAGAGAGAGAGAGAGAGAGAGAGAGAGATCAAAAAGAGACAGAGAAAACAGAAAACAAAGACATTACTCACAGCACCCAAACACCCACCACCAGACAGACCCAGATAGAACAGACAGACAGACAGGACAGACAGACCAGACCACAGACAGACAGCCACCCAGCTACAGACAGACACACCCATCAGACAGAAACAGCCACCCAGACAGACAGCCCTCGAAACCAACCATCAATACCACTTACCTGTTAAGACCGACAGCTCCGTTTCCCTTATCCAAGACCAGGCGCGGCTTCCCCTCGTAGATCTCCAGGGCAATAAAGTCCGATCTGCGAAAAGAATTGACCTCAGATGACCTTCTTATATGAACACATGTCTCTACGTGACCTTATCTGGAACTCCTATCTCACCCTCGGTCTTTTATCTCTGCGCTATGTCTTGCTCTGCGGGGTTATGGTGGTCGTTGTATCTAGTACATGGCTGGTCGGTTTATTTGGGGTAGGGCGTAGTACTACGTGTTATTTTTGTGTGTTTGTTTTGTCACTTGTTTCTCATTGTTTATTTCTTCCCGTTTATTTTTTTGTTTTTTTTATTTTTTTTGTCTTTCTTATTCTGCTTACTTTCGTTCTTCTCCTTCTCTCTCCCCCTCCTCGCTTTATCTAGAGATCAGTTCTAACCTCTCCATCTTGCCTTTTTTGCATCTTTTACATTCTTTTTCTTCTTCAAATTCTCTCCCGCCAACCTCTCCCCTCTCCATTTTCCTTCTCTATATTCTCTCCTAACCTGTATTTCCCCTATTTTTTCTTCTTGTTCTTAATTCTTATATCATTCTCTCCCACCTATCCTCTCTCTCCTCCATTCACTGCCCCCTTGTATTTTCCCTACTTCCCTTCTTCTCGTTCTTAATTCTTATATAATTCTCTCTCACCCAACCTCTCTCTTCTCCATTTACTTCCTCAAGCCCGAAGTCACACCGAGGTAAATTGCTTCACTTCCTTCTCTTTATCTATTTTTCTTTCTCTCTTTCTCTATATCCTCTCCTAACATGTAATTTTCTTGATCTTTGTCTTCTTGTTCTTAATTCTTATGTATTATCTCCCACCTATCCTCTCTCCTCCTCCTTTTCTTTCTCTATATTCTTACCTAACCTGTATTTTCCCTATTTTCTCTTCTTATCCTTAATTCTTATATCATTCTCTCCCACCCAGCCTCTCTCTCCTCCATTCACTTCCCCGAGCCTGAAGTCAGACCGAGGCAACTTACTGCACTTCCACCTCTTTATCTTTTTTCTTTTTTTCTTTCTCTAAATGCTCTTCTGCTTCCAACTTATTTCTGTTTTCTTTATATATTTCCCTTTCTCTCTATATATTCTCACCTATCCTGCATTTTCCCTATTTTTTCTTCTTGTTCTTAATTCTTATATCATTCTCTCCCACCTCTCTATCTTTTTTTCTTTCTTTCTCTTTCTCTCTCTATATTCTCTCCTAACCTGTAGTTTCCCTATTTTCTCTCCTCTTGTCCTTAATTCTTATATAATTCTCTTAATCCTATCTTTTTTCTTTCTTTCTCTCTCTATATTCTCTCCTAACCTGTATTTTCCCTATTTTCTCTCCTCTTTTTCTTAATTCTTATATCATTCTCTCCCACCCTGCCTCTCTCTCCTCTCCATTTACTTCCTCAAGCCCGAAGTCAAAACGAGGCTACTTGCTTTACTTCCACCTCTTCATTTTTTTTTTTCTTTCTCTAAATGCTCTTCTGCTTCTAACTTATTTCTGTTTTCTTTATATATTTCCCTTTCTTTCTCTATATTCTCACCTATCCTGCATTTTCCATATTTTTTATTGTTCTTAATTCTCTCCACCTCTCTCCTCTCTATCTTTTTTCTTTCTTTCTCTCTCTCTATATATATATTCTCTCCTAACCTGTAGTTTCCCTATTTTCTCTCCTCTTGTTCTTAATTCTTATATCATTCTCTTCCTCCTCTCTCTTTTTTCTTTCTTTCTCTTTCTCTCTCTATATTCTCTCCTAACCTGTAGTTTCCCTATTTTCTCTCCTCTTGTTCGTTCTTTTATGATTCTCTTCCTCTCTCTCCTCCATACTTCCCCGAGCGCCGAAGTCAAACCGAGGTGACTTACTCACTTCCACTCTTTATTTTTTTCTTTTTTCTTCTTTCTTCTATATTTCTCTCCTAACCTGTAGTATTCCTCTTATTTTCTCTCCTCTTGTTCTTAATCTTATATCAATTCTCTTTCCTCTCTCTCCTCCCATTTACTTCCCCCGAGCCCGAAGTCAAGTTTTGCCTCTTGCATTTCCATTATTTTTTATTGTTTTATTCTTATTCTCTTCCACCTCTCTATCTTTTTCTTTCTTTCTCTTTCTCTCTATATTCTCTCCTAACCTGTAGTTTCCCATATTTTCTCTCCTCTTTGTTCTTAATTCTTATATCATTCTCTCGCCCATCCATTTACTTCCCGAGCCCGAAGTCAAGCCGAGGCGACTTGCTTCACTCCCTCCTCTTTCATTTTTTTTTTTTTCTTTCTCTATTCTCTCTAACCTGTTTTCCCTATTTTCTCTCTTTGTTCTCAATTCTTATATCATTCTCTCTCCTCCATCTACTCCCGAGCCCGAAGTCACGCCGAGGACTTGCTTCCCTCCTCCTCAGTCCAGCGAATCCTCATCACGGTCCCGAGCGCAGCGACTTCAAGACACTCGACGTAACCTTATTACCGCCAGCTCATTAATCAAGCCATTAGGAGTTCGGTCCTAATCAAGCCATTAATTAGTCCTAAATCAATCACATTAATCAGTACTCTCGCCCCCCCCATCCCCTCCACCCCTCCCCCCCTCCCCCCCGCGCCAAAACTATTAACTCGAAATTCAAATCCATATTCGCGAGAGGGTCGAGAGAGGGAGAAAGGGAGAAAGGGAGAAAGGGAGAAAGGGAGAAAGGGAGGGGGGACTGACTCAGAATTTCGCCTTAAACGTCTCCCGGTTATGGCGACAGTTTCTGAGGGGGTTGTTGGAGTTTGGGAATTTGGTTCGGAATAATTTCTCGAAAATATGTAAGGAATGTGAATGAATCCGATGGTGGTAAAATAGAACACTATAACGATAGATTTCGACGATGATGGCTGTCATAATTCAGGGACATCCAACACGGGAAATAACGATAGAAAAAAAAAGAAAAAAAAAAGAAAATATCCCTAATGTTTAGAGGATTCTTGGCCAGCGTCCTAATGACATGATAAATGACAAGACCATCGATATAAAAAGAACAAAAAAGGAACACATTAACATGATGAATGACACGAACCATCAATAACAATAAAAGAGAAAAAAAAACATAATACTAAAATAACTACGACCACAATCACCCCCTCTAAAAAATAATAATAATAAAATATGAAAACAATAATAAAAAATAATAAAATATACTAACTACTACTATAATAATAATAATAATAATAATAATAATAATAATAATAATAATAAATAACAAAAAATAAAATAAAATAAATAAATATAGTAAAACAATAAAATATAATACTCATACTAATACTACTACTACTACTACTAACAACTACTACTCTACTACTACTACTACTACTACTACTAATATTAATTAATAATTAAAAATAAACAGGTAAGAATAAAGTTCCCGTGGCCCTACCTCGACGGCGCCCCGTATTATACATGAGCAGCGCGTTTTCCTTCTGCGTCTTCACCTCCATCCGGATAGAGCCGCCCGTCCTCGGATAGGAGTCCTGGAAGGCCACATAAGCCCCCTGTTTAATGAAGCTAATGGCCGTGTCGGCAGGAGCGTCGAACTCGTCCGAACACGTCCACTCCACGCCGTACACGTCAGCTGACTTCGGATCCTCCTGCACCTCCCGGAAGACGTCCAGACCGTTGTACACCACCTGGGGAGGGAGAGGAACATGGGGTATGTAGATATTGTACAGGGTGGAGAGGATGGGAGAGGGAGGGAGGAGGGGGCAGGGAGGGATAGGGAGGGAGGGGAAGGGAGAGGGAGGGACAGGGAGAGAGAGAGAGAGGAGAGAGAGAGAGAGAGGAGAGAGGAGAGAGGGAGAGAGGGAGAAGGAGGAGAGAGGAGAGAGAGAGAGAGAGAGAGAGAGAGAGAGAGAGAGAGAGAGAGAGAGAGAGAGAGAGAGAGAGAGAGAGAGAGAGAGAGAGAGAGAGAGAGAGAGAGAGAGAGAGAGAGAACGAGAGAGAGAGAGAGAAACGTTAGGTAAAATATCGAGCTAAACTACACTCCCGGACCCAGCAGGCCTTTGCACGCCACATAGACGAGGAAGAAAAAAAATCAGAAATCGCCTGAAAACGAAGGAAGAAAAAATAGAAAACAAAACAATACGTAAAGATAAATAAACAACACCTAATTAGAACAGTGGAAGACGCGAAGAAATTATGGATTGCTTTATTACCCCCAAGGCAGAGAAGAATCAGAAAAAGGAGAAAGAGTAAGTTAATCGAGTGTTGTCAGAATAAACATACTACAAACAGGAGGAGGTGGAACATAAGAGGGACTTCTTAGGCTTAATAACTGGAAAATAAATCTTTTAACCTCAGAAGAAGAGATAGAGAAATGGAAAAAGGTCTTAGATCTTTTTTTTTTCTTTTAAGCATCCCGGCAAAAGAGAAGGAGAAAATAAAAAAGTCTAAGAAAAAGATCGGAATAAACTATTACAAACAGACGTAATATAAAAGGTTTTTTTTAGGCTTAATAACTAGGAAAAAGATTATTTCATTTTTTTTCTTTTTAAGCACTTGAGTAGGCCATTACCTCGGCAGAAGGGATAGTGAAATGGAAAAAGGCCTCAGATATTTTTTTCTTTTCTTTTTAAGCACTTGTGTAGGGCAGCACCTCGGCAAAAGAGATAAAATAAAAAAGGTCTTAGATTTTTTTCTTTTAAGCACATGAGTAGGGCACCACCTCGCCAAAAGAGATAGAAAACTGAAAAAAGTTCTTAGAAAAAAAAACTAAGCTCCCCGACAAAAGAAAAAAAGATTAAAAAAGATGAGTAGGGTAAATAATAACAAGAATAACTAAATAACTAGAAAATGAAAAAAAAGGTCTTACATATTTCTCCTAAGCACCTCAGCGTAAAAAATGAATAACAACTGAGTCCCTTAAATACCTGAGACGAGAGTACGAAAGCTTGACATAAACTAATCACTATCAATACATTTCAATATAACGACGTTTTTTTTTCATCAAGGACAAAGAGCTCAAAAAAGAAAAAAATCTATCCACCGATTTTGCAAGCGAAAATTTGTCCAAAACATCTGTTAAACGAATTACACATGACAGCGGAATAACATCAAACATTTATTTACAGGTCAGAGAATGCAATTATTGTCGACACTCCCATGGCAGAAGGCTCTTATAATTACTAATAAATAGCTTCAATCAGGGGTTATAATTCATTTATATAAAAAATCTGAAACTGATATGTGTGTGTACATATACGTATGTATTATTTATATATGTATGTATATGCATATATACATACACATATATATATATAGATATATATATATATATATATATATATATATACATGTGAGTGTGTGTGTGTGTGTGTGTGTGTGTGTGTGTGTGTGTGTGTGTGTGTGTGTGTGT